GTAGGCTCTTCTCAGGAAGAGGGAACCTCAGCGTCTGCTTCCGCATCTGCTTCCGGAGGCCCTCCACAGGGAGGGGTACCGGGTAGCAGTTCGGATCCAATGCCTTCGAAGCCAGCTCGGCCAAAGACATCTCAGGATGCAGGCCAAGCGTCACCGGGAAGCTTCTCTCAGGAGAAGGTACCCACATTGGACGCGGCAGCTCTCCAGAAGCTTATTCGTGACAATGAGCTTAAGGCAGAGCGGGAGCGGCAAGCCACAGCCTCCGAAGGAGACACCAAGTATGCGTATCAGTCTGGGGACACCGTCCACGGCAAGATTGATGCGCATAAGTCCCAGCAGCAGGAGGAGCTCAACGAGGTTCTCCGCAAGGCCAGGACGAATCCATGGCATCTCTTCGCCCACGGCAAGTTGCACATGGTGGACTCCTCTGGCCAGCCGATGCTTAGCACCTATGGCGATGCCCTCGTTCAGGTCACCCCCTGGCACACTTTGACTACTTCTATGAGAGAGTCTTTGGGTGGTGAATACGATTGGGCATCGTGGTTGCAGCATCCTCTTTCGGGGTACTCCCTGCACTTCTTCCTCAAGGCCTTCGAGATGGGGAAGTTGCAGGGGAACTACCTCGTGGAGCTGGACAAGAAACCGAAGGTTTACTCCAACGGTTACACGTCACCTTGGATGAACTTTAAGCGTCATCCTGGCGGTCTTGCCCAGATGCTGGACGATGTCTCCGTTGCCGCGTCGAACGAATTCAGGCCCAACGTGGGTAACATTGGATTCGATCGCCCTCGGGACAATGACTCTCGTGCAAAGATGCCAAGGACAGAGGATCCCGACTACTCTCGCAAGCTCGCCGCACACAAGGCTTTCCTCAGGGAAAGGTATGTGTATGAAGAGGTTGGCTATGTGCGAGAGGATTTCCAGATGCTCGTCCGCGTCATCAATGAGGCTTATGGAGTGGACTTCTTCTCCTACATCCAGCGCCACGCCGGTGATCTGGAGGTTCGCCGTAAATACACGGTGCGAACCCCTGAGGGCTATTGTCTCTACGACAGTACCCTGAAGCAGCCGTTCAACGGCAGCTACCTCCTGGCGGTTCTGGAGAAAGTCTTCGCTGAGTCTGACCAGCGCGATTTCAAATCGGCTTTCGCCCGCAAGGCAAAAGCTGACTTGGTGGCGTACGAAGACTTGAAGGCGAAGAAGGAGTCTGAGCTGAATGAGCTCCTCACCCGACCATATGACGACATTATGATCGAGGAGTTCATCGAGCGACTCCCATGTCCACAGATCGAGGAGATCGAGGAGCCTCCCGCGGCTACTCAGATGGATACCTCCGAACCGTCGTCTGGATCCACGGACTTGCCACAGGGCAAGAAGGTTGATCCGGTTAAGACCGAGCCGACCGATGTGCCAATGGAGACTGATGCTCCAGGAAGCTCTCCACAGGGAGAGGTACCTGAGGCTACAGTCGAGCCAATGGAGACAGACGTTCCGGAAGGCTCTCCACAGGGGGAGGTATCTGGGGCTGATGTCACACAGCAGAAGACCGAAGCTGAGGAAGGCTCTCCACATGGAGAGGGATCCGAGGTAAAGGTCGAATCTGATGAGCACATGGGTCAGGAAGGAGGTAAGTCCGAGAACATCGAAATGGCTGAGGAAGGCTCACCACAGGGTGAGGAATCCATGCCAGACATTTCTCCCGAGAAGGATGATGAAAGTGAACTTCACGATCAAGGCATCTGGGGGAAATGCAAGACTGTTCCGGATCCTGAGTACTACCAGGCCGCGAAGGATGCAGAGGACCAGAATGAGAACGCGTTCGACAAGATGGGCAAGGCAAGGGAAAAGATCGAGCTCGTTGATCTCGAAGAGTTCAAACATTTCCTTACGCAGCTCACCGAAATCGAACGACAAAGCCCTATGCGGCTGCTCTGCAAGCAGTTGCGTGGATATGGCTATTCAGGCTTGTATCATACAGGACTTCGTGATCCTGACTACGAGCCCGTTCTCGCCTACAAGGTGCAGCATATGAGTTGGAGGGTAAATGTTTCGAACCACAAGGGACAGAAATACTCCCGACAAAAAGGACGTTGTCTTTCGTTCTGGGGACGTTCGCAGCACCTTGGACGACAAGCTCATGGGCAAGGCCTCTGACATCCGAGAATCAGCATTGGAGGTTATGGAAGCACTTCTTGATAAGCTGAAGTCCTTGGATGCAAGCGGCAATCCGGCAACTCGAGAAGAACTCTTGAATGCTATGCTTCACTACTTCTTGAGCACCGGAGTCGATGAAGAGGAGATCGGGGACCTCTCTCTTGAGAAGATGCCGAATCCTTATATTCATCGTTTTGGTCTGGCAGAGGACTCCAATGTCCCTATCTTCACCAGCAAGACCAAGTACGCCGCGCTCATCCTCAATCTCGGCAACATGAGCAGGGGAAGAAAGCGTTCCGCTCCTAGCTCCGTTGCTAATCACATTGACTGGGACGATGCTACACCATCTAAAGGAGCCTTGATAAAATCGATTGCACAGTCGAAGACGCATTTGTTTATGCTCTGCGAAGCGGCTACAATCGATGACTCCGAGGAGGCCTTCCTCAAGTCACGCGGGTGGCAATTCCTGCGTAACGAGTCCAAGGACCTGATGGTGGGAAGTCGTACAAATGGTGTCGGATCTTCGATCACCCGTCTTGCCGGCTCCACTCTCAGTGGATATGCCCACGAGTCCCTTCCAATAACCTATATGGTCGCGGAAATCGTGTATGGCATGACGTTACCGACCGGTCTCCAGGGCAGTCGTGGTGATGTTCCAGATGAGTCACTGACCAAGGTCTTGGAGCGGGCTGGATCCGACCGGCTCAGAGTTTGTGTCTTCCACCTCCACAACGACGCGGCGGCAGACAAGGTGGCGTTGGCTCATGAAGTGTTGGGCAACATGTTCATCGACTGCTTGCACTACCAAGTCGACCTCATCGGTGGCGACGCCAACATGGCCCTCTACCGGGCCACCGGCAGAAAGCAGGAGTCGATGGATATTCGTGGCGGGATGTACCAAAGCCTTCTCGACTACTTCTTGGAGGCTTGGTCAGAAAGCCCAAAGTGCCCACACTTCTGTTCGCCTCGTGCGAGACATGTGTCAGCAAACGCCATGTGGCTTCTGAAGCAGTATGAGGACACGCTGGGAATGCCATACAAGGAAGCTAAGCAACCAGACTGGAATACTTTTCCTGGTTTGGATCCTGTTATGGCTACAGTCATGGAATGGGGACACAGCATGTCGGACGATCAATGGGCGGAGTTTCCGTCTTCAAAGACTGAGTTCGACATCCATGTCTCTGAGTGGCTGTTAAACTCCACCAGCGCCGCGTACCTTCTCAACGATCGGGACTATGACGCTCACACTCCGCTCCTCATCGAGGTTCACGCGAACCAGTACTCTGGAGGCAGGATGAGAGCGCTCAACCGCAATCCCGACACCGTGAAGGAAGCCGCGGACAGAAGAAAAGAGAGACAGAAGCTGAACAAGGCGCGTGGTTCTGGTTCTACTGGTCCTGCAGCCGCACCACAGGGAGCAAGCTCTTCTCAGGAAGAGGCAGCTTCTGGTGCTAAAGCTTCTGGTTCTCAACGTCCTCAAGAACCCGCACAACCTCCTGGTGGCAAAGAAGGCGGCAAAGGAGGCAAGTCCTCCAAAGGAAAAGGCAAGGACGCCGACAAGGGCAAGTCCAAGGGCAAGACCAAGGACAAGTCCAAAGGCAAGGCCAAGGGCAAAAACTGACTAGGTTCAGATGAGGGCGAGGACTCAGACGTTGACGTTCCTGACGAAGACGTTGGTCCTGGCCCAGCATCCTTTGGTGATAGACCGTGGTTCCCATTTCGCCTGCAGCTCTTTCACTGGCATTTGGAGAGATGGTACTACCCTCACCACCATTTGCCTCATCCTGATGACAGTCCGCGTACTGGTCGTCGGGTGGAGCAGTACAACCAGAGGGTGATGAACCAAGGTCCGATGGAAGAAGTGGAGTGAGTGTTTCACGGAATGCTTCTTTCATACGAAGGTATCCAGTTTGAGCATTCGCCATTTCATAGGAAGATGCTTTTATCATGAAGAGGTACTTCCTTAAAGACCTTGTCAAAAAGAAGATACTTATCTCAGGATAAGATACTTCTCATGCCCTTATATATTTGCCGTGTAGCAAGATGTCATGCTGGCATCAAGTGGAGCTAAGCTCTACAATCTTTTATGTGACAGTAAGCTTTCCGCCTGGAGAGGAAACTGAACACAAGTGGGCGACTTTCAAGCAAAAGTTTTCAGTTGAAGGTCCGTTTGCGTTTTCGTGCGTGTTCTGCTCTTTTCATTGAAGCTGTCTTCAGGTGAGAGATGTATAGATTCTCTTCAAGTCGCAGATGTAGCTCAATACTCCGCTAATTCGACCGAGAGCAATAACAGGCTAGTTGAATGCCGACTCCACGGCCATGCAGCTCTACGTGTTTTAAATTTGTGCCTGGTTGAAACACTGAATGTTACACATCCAGGTGCCTGTCTGTTTCACGTATCACTTGCATGTATCCATGCCTGTTGCTCAAGGTTCTAGTGCAGTGGACTACAGCTGTGCGCCTGTAGCAAAAGAGACACCTGAGTGCCTGTGTTCCTGTACGCCTAGCGAGGGGATACACGTCCAGGTTACATCTCAGGGTAGGGGGGGGGGGAGGGGGGAGGGGGAGGGTGGGGAGGGGGTTGGGGTGGAAGAAAAAAAAGAGGGGGGAGGAGGCCTGGGAGGGGGCAGGTAGGCCCGCAAATCAGAGAAAATGAGGGGAGGCCGGGCAAGGGGGTGGCAAACGAGCGCAAAAACAGGGTGTCACCAATCATTTGGGCTGCAGGGAGGAGGATTAGGTGGGGGGTACCTGAGGTAACCACCAAAACGCCTGGGCCTGTGGCCTCGGCGGACTTAGATGCCACGGCTGTGCTTCTGATTCTGACGTCCCTTTCAATTACCTTCAAGGAGACTCCAAGAGGCTCGCCGACGCCTCGTGCATCCTTCAGCGTCCTGCGCCTTGGCCTACATGCACAAGCTGCACAAGTACTGTATCTCTGGTGGGCTGAAGGGCGTCGCCTGCTCTGGCAATCTGTATCGCTGGTGTTCCCAGTCGGCTACTCTACTACTACTACTACTACTACTACTACTACTACTACTACTACTACTACTACTACTACTACTACTACTAGCCACCCCCTTCCATCCGGGCTGGGCAGCGGTAGCTGCTAGGCGCCTTAACTGCGATAGTTGCAGAAGATGCACGGGCTCAGGCTCCTTATCTGTGACAGCTGCAGAAGTTGCAGAGGCTCAGTTTCCTTAACTGTCACAGCCGGTGAAGTTGCAGGGGCTCAGGCCCCAAAACTGCCACAGCAGCTGGAGTTGCAAGCTCGACGGGGAAGAAACTGATAAACCCCAGGTGGTCGGATAGTACGAAAACGCTGTAAATACCGTGCAAAACCCAGGTGCTGCCAACAAGGGTTTAACGTTTCTAAAACCTGAAGCGCAACATCTTCTGAACATCAAAAACAAAGATGCCAGCTGTACGTGGGAGGGGCTCGCCAACACCCCTACCGCCCAACCTCTGCGTAGGAGGGTCTGTTTTTGAAGTGGTGTGTGTGGTGTGTGCGCGCTTGAGTGTAGAAATATTGTTCAGGGTGTCTGCAAAACAGTGTCGTGATCATCCCCGAAGAAGCTTTCCCCCACCCAATTTCGAGTTGTTTTGCAAACAGTTCCAAAGAGCAAAGTTTAATACGCATAGTCGAGAAGTAGGGGCTCAGAATATGTAACAAAGTCTGACATCACGGAAGTACCGTAAATACCAAGTTAAACGGCTCTTGTGGTGATACTGCTGGGTGTGTTCGCGTAACACTGTCGTCATCATCCCCCCCACCCCCCCACCCACCCCCAGAAGCAAGTCCAAAATCAAGAGCCCGAGTTTGCAAACTCGACAAGTCGATTTTTGGGCCTCTTAGGATGATCGCACTGACAAAGTGCCGTAAATATCGAGTAAAATGGATGTTGTCTTAACATGGTTGAGAGCAAGTGTAGTTGGTAGGGGGGGTGCCTACTACTACTACTACCACTACTACTACTACTACTACTACTACTACTACTACTACTACTATTACTACTACTACTACTACTACTACTACTACTACTACTACTACTACTGCTACCACTACTCCTGCTACTCCTACTACTAGTACTACTACTGCTACTACTACTACTACTACAACTGCTACTGCTGCTACTATTGCTACTACTGCTACTGCTGCTACTACTGCTACTACTGCTACTCCTACTCCAACTCCTAATCCTAGCACTACCACTACCGCTACCACTACCACTACTACTACTACCACTACTACTACTACTACTACTACTACTACTACTACTACTACTACTGCTACTACACCTACTACCTACAACTACTACTACTACTACTACTACTACTACTACTACTACTACTACCAGTACTGCTACTGCTACTGCTACTGCTACGGCTACTACTGTTACTGCTACCACCACTACCCGACGACTTCTACTACCACTCCGTTTTCATCATGTCCGATGTCCAAGTCCCGGTTTAGCAGAAGGGCACTTGTGTTGCTGGTGGTTTTTCTGTGACCCGTCCTGTCGCATCCAGTGTTGCCGCCTGGTTTTATTCCTTGCTGATTTTTGTTTGCGCTGCTTCCTGATGGAACCTTGATCCTTAACCATTCGCTTCAAGCTCCGATGGCTCGATCTGCTTCTTAGGTACTCACTCCCGAACTCGAGGTCTGTGTCAAAGAGGCACTGCTGCCGGCTGAGAGCCCCTGTGAACACCTTTGTAGTTGCTTCTGGCTCCGACTCCATGATGATGGTGATGGTGACTGTTATTATGAAGAGGTGACGTTGAAATGGGTCACGAGATGAGAGATGAGAAGGACAATCAACATGATTATTGCTGTTCGTGAGGATCGTGAAGAGGCTCTTAGGACGCGAACAACAGGCCTGAAATCGCAAGCACAGCGAAGTGCAGTTGGCATCCAGGCAGCGAGGGTAGCCCAAGATCGCGACTAACAGTGACAAGCATTGGGTTGAATCTTGCCACGGACAAGAAGACGCCACTGCACTTGAGAGCCATACCCGAAGCTCCACACCGGAAGGAGACTCCCTTCCTACGCTCGGCCGGCACTGATGTGCATCAAGGTTCACAAACCTGCAGCATAGAAGGCCCAATCTTTGTCTCTAGTCGTGCGCCCACCCTGAGTGAGCCCATGTAGGAAAGACACCCTGCACCTGAAAGACTCAATCGCGAAGCTCAACAATGCCAGCCACAATAGGGCTTACCGCTCCAGCTTCACCTTTATCGTGCTTCTATGTGAAAGAAGCCCCGAAGCCCTGCAGTTCGAGAAGCAAGTCGAGCCGTGCGCATTCGAAGACGTCGCAGACTCGGCGAAGGGCGGACGGTTAGGGGTTTTGCTTGCGACCCTACGAGCATCGCATCCGGTCTTAGCTTCGAGCGGCTGCTCTTCCGCATGCGGAGTAGGGTTTGGGAGTTTGAAGATTTGCGAGAACTGGAGGATGTCGCGCTTGTTTCCTCTAGTTGAATGCTCGTCTCAATTCGTTGCTGTGCAGCAGACCGTTTCCTGAGACTGGGACACACGTGCTTGAAGCAGCTTCAGGGCACCTTGCAAAAAGGACGGGATAAAGTACTTACAGGACGTGGGACACCTACTGTGTTGTGGGATTCCCGAAGTTGCCGATCCCAACCGCACCAAAGAAACCTTGGCAAACATTGGGGATTGCTGAGGCTATCCTCCGTTGCCAGGGGAGTGGTGTGTCTCGGCCCGAAGCAGTGCGGGAAATGAGTGCCATTGGCACAGACAAGACTGTCACAGACGGCACAGGGAGAAGCCGGATGCGCAGCATCCTTGAGTTCCTCCATCCCCACATCCATCTTTCTACTTCTCTTTGATTGGAGCCGGATCTTTGGAGAGCTTAGCGACCACGAAGGGCCCAAAAAACTGAACAGGCCGACCTGACAGCTTTGAATTTGTCCGTGTCAGTCAGGAATCTCTCGAAACCTCGAGATAATTCCAAAAATGCACAGTCTCAACACCAAGCTGCGGGCCTGGAGCCTTCAAAATTGCAAGACCGTACAAGGACGATGGGCGCCTTTGCACGGGCTTTGCACGAGGAGGCGCATATTGCTGCAAAGCGAGTGATTTCGACAATTGACATCGAGGATTCGCACACTCCACCCCCAAACGATTCGGTTCGAGATGGACTATCCTAGTACATGTCCGCTCGCCCGAAAAGGCAAGCAGAAGTTATGAGATGCCTATCCTAAAGAGCCGTGGCCTTACTCTTGCTAGGACTGCGACTCCTGCTGCTGCTCCTACTGCCACTGCTTGCTGCGGCCATGAGCAGTCCTCGAAGTAATTTCGACAGGTTCAGGCTTGTGCTGTTGTCTATTGCTGTTCCTGCTCCTGTTGTTGAAGCCTTCGCCGCAGTCAGTCCTTTAATGGCAACACTACTGCATACAATTTCAACATTTCAGCCAACGTATCAACTTCTTCCAGGAAGGCTTACACTTATGAATGTGCATGTTCGATATGAACGAAAGCCTGACCGCAGTTCCGGAACAGAGCAGGTCTGTTTACTGCTTGCACAACCAACTGGATGTCTCTGACTGTCAGAAGCCGTGATGCCTACTGCATGGTCCAGGTAGACAAGCTGGACGAGCGGCCAGTTTCAGCGGCGTCCGCCGTGCGCTGGAATTCCACGGCACAGGAGGACCTGATAGCCGTTTGCTGCTGTTGTAATGCCTGCAAGAACTGTAGTCCCCGTACTGTGTTCACCATGAACATGATCACGATGATGACGATGATGAGCTACCATGTATAAGACATGATGTCCATATTTATCTCCATCGTCCCCGACGTTGTCACCGTCATAATGGCCATCAGAATCGTCCTCGCTATCTTCATCGCGGCAACCGTGAGCGTCATCAAAGTCTTTTGGTGTTCATCGTCATGCCGGTCATAATCACCTTCATGATCGTTGGAATGTCTATCATCCTGATCGTCCCCATCAACCTGGTCCACGGCAGCAGCTGCAACGGCCGCAACATCGTCACTGCGCGAATGTCGTTGTCGTCCTCGTTCTTGTCATGGTGGTTTCCAGCATCAGCCTCAGCCTCGCATCACCACCACTGCCACAGTCGGCACGATCATCTCTTCAGTTGTGGCCAGCAACACGTTCTTTCGGGTAGCCGACTAGATAGACAGAATTGTGCCAGCATAGGCCCTAAAGAGCGAAAGGAAACGTAGCAGTCCAAGCCCTGCATGCCCAAGAACAGTTTCAGGAGGCTTTCCTGAGCACCCCACATACCTAGCGAGAGCACGGAAGCTCACTGTGACAGAACTCGAATCGTACTGAAGTATCCTGGGTTTGCCGGGATTTGTCGTGAGAACACGGTTTTGGGAGGCAGAACGGAACAGAAATTGCAAGCCACAACACGCGGGACGTGGATTACGATCTCGCAGGGTGGAAATGCATTTTGGTCTAAGTGGGAAGACGATGCATCCTCCAATTCAAACACGGCTCTGTGGCGGCAGCACGATCCCCAATTTCATCTGACATTTGATGATCACCATCTTCAGCCGCTTCATCAGCGTCTAGCATCATCATTGTCATGTTCACATCGACTTTCATGGGCTGCTGCTGCTGCTACTACCACCACCACCACCACAACCACCACCACTACTACTTACTGCCACCGCCACCACCACCACCACCAGTACTACCCGCTACCACCACTACCGTCTACCACGACCACAATTGTCCTAGAACGTCAACAACACCACCAACAACAACACCAACACAAGCACCAACACGAACAGTTTTATTGGACGCCGAGCGAGCGGGCTCTGCTCATAGCGGGCGCATCAGACACGCTTAAAAGTGCCGTAAGCCAGCGCCGCCCTTTGGTAGCTGATCTGCCGACATTCCAATATAGACTAGAGGTAAAGCGGCCTCAAAGTTCCTTACAAAGGTTGTGGCGGTGCGAAGTGACTGCCCTGCGATCATCGCAGGTATCTCATTTATCCGTCTTTGGAGCAACGGACCGTTAGTAGTCATGCTCCCAGGCCTCGGGCTAACCATCAACCTTAAACAAAAACACAGAAGCCGAGCAACCTGAAACAGAAACACTGAAACCGAGCAAAAGAACCCTTCAGAGGAGGCCGCTCAACCGCTATAGGATCCTCAGAAAATGAAAAAGAGGAGCCGTTGCTAGAAAAGTCAACAGAGCAAGGCCTAAGTGAAAGAGTGTCCCTGCAGTCTGTACCTTGCAGCGGTGGCTCTTCAGCACTTGGTTCAAGGAGGCAGGTCACTTGACCTTGCTATCGGTTCCCAAAGGCAGTGCCCTTGTTTTGGCACCGGCAGTGCCCGCGACTCCCCATGTGACAGCTAGGCTCAAAAGATCTTTGTCATGTAGCCTCCGTCACCTTCAGTGTCAGTCATTGCATCTAATACTCATGAACTGGCAGCAGGTGGGCCGTACTCAAAAGATCCGTCTCCGAGAGTTCCGGTCTAGTAACTCCGGACTACCAGCAGTGAGCCGCAAGGGTGGTTCGTCGTCGAAGCACGTGAGCCGCCACGCCTAGCACTGCCTGACCACGTCGGTAGCAAGACAGTAACGAACACAACTGGGAGGACCGTAGCCGTAGCCCGACACCCATAGCACAGCAAGCCCGTCCACTTAACGACTGTACCCAGATGCGACGTGGCGCCGTACCGGTAGACACCGTATTGGGACTGAAGACGTTGGCCTGCGATTTGTTTTGAAAACAAATCTGGCCCGGCGTGGAAAGGCCTCCCCCTCAAGAGAGGATAGCCGTCCCAGGCCCTCAAGGGCACCCCACAGCAAGAGAAGTCCCAGGGGTGCACATCGGGGCCAGCCGGGAGGATGCTGACGAATTGCAAACAGCAAACTGGCTCCCATCCTCTGTCTGACTTGTTCGCAGGCGGTGGCAGCTTAACAGCAGTGCTGCGCAAAAGGCTCGCAACGGCGAAGCAGGAACTCGATCGCAGTGGCTTTGTCGCAGCCAGTGGCAGTCTGCCCGCCTTTGACAAAAGGTGTAGTTTCCGAAGCAGACTGTGCGAAAGCACAGGCGATCCGGGTCCTTCTTGTGAGAGAGTGCTCGTAGAAGCGCACAGCCAAAGAGCCAGCAAAACTGCGCAGAGAAGACCTTCAGCTGTCCTTGGGTGTCTTGTCCAGAAGTTGAAAAGTCGAAGATTGGCAAGGAACGCGGCCTCGGCTCGAAAGTTTCCTGCAACGCACCCAAGTTCAAAAACGGCCAACTTACGACTGGAACTGCTCCTTGACTTGCTTGGTGCGGCAGGTCCTTTTGTAGCATCGGCGGGAGAAAGACATTGAGGCACAGTCGGCGCGGAACAGCTTGTTTCGCAACACCTGGTGTAAACCAAATACTGCTCCCTCCACCGCGCGGAAGGGTGGAAACCCTACCGCTTACCTCCAGCTCGTTGAGAACTTGCTGTCGCGGGAGACCCGGGAAGTGGGACCCAGCAGTTCGCAGAGGCACGAAGTTCCGAGGCACGCTCAAATGGCTCAGGCAGAAGGACGTCCCTTGCGCTTTGTACAGGAGCTCGTTGCAAATCTTTAGAGTTGCACCCGAAGCCCAGATAGCACAGCTAACATGCCGTCTGAGGACCGTAGCGGCCCCAACACGAACAGCAACACCACCACCACCACCACCAGCAATTTATTGGACGCTGAGCGAGCGGGCTCTGCTCATTGCGGGCGTGTGAGACTGCCTTTGCACCTGAACAAAGGTCTGAGAGCAGAAATGCTAAGGGCCTGGGCCTGAAAGCGCTGAAACAGGCTACCGTGAAGAGAGCTACCCTACAAGCTAACTCAAAAGCCGGTTCATGCGTCTCAGGCGTGGGTGAGAAACCCTCCGTCACCCTCAGTGTGGACTATGGCGTCCCATGTCCACGGACCGATGATTGATGAGCCGTACCCCCTCGGGACCGTCACTCAGAGTGCCTGTTGCGTGGCGTCCCACTCATGGTCACTCTCAATCAAAGGCGATGGGCCGTAAGGTCGCAAAGGTGATGAGCATGTGGAACGGCTGCTAGTGCTGTTATCTGAGGCCGCTCCGCTTTTGTGGGCAAGCAGATTGCATCGGTGAACGATGTGGCACACCCTGGCGGTAAGCACACTGTGCCTAATAAAGCTAACCTTATTCGTAAGAGGCGTACTCCCCTCCAGAGGCCAGGCTTGCCGGCAATGGCTTGGGGGCCTCGGACAACCCCCCATTCTCGAGCCGAGAATGGGGGGGTTGCAAAACCTTGATTTTTTAGGCCTCGGACAAACCCCCCTTCTCGAGCCGAGAATGGGGGTTTGTAAAGCCGATTTCAGCCATTGGTCAGCTGTGTTGCTGACAGGCGTTGCCTTTCTGGGAAAGCAGCGAGCGTTGCCCGACTAGCATGACAGGTATAGGCCGCTATTGCACACAAACGCTGAGTAGTGGAGCTACGTCAGCTGTACGACTTGAGCAGCAAAACTGAACAACAGCGTTCCTGCTCCCTGCCGTGTAGGCAGGTCGGTCCCACAGAGCCAGTAGGTCGCCCCCTTCCTGCAAGGGGAAGTAGGGGCCCCTGGCCTCAGGGGAACCCTCAGCTTAATCATCTGAAACTTGGACTGGCATAGGGCCAGCCTCCGCTGTGTGCGGTATTGAACCAAGTCGCACGAACAGCACATAGCAGCCGTGGCGTGCCTGCCTGAGATCTGAATCTGAGGCCTGAACCGACGGACGACCATCGTCCGTGCTGAGCCAAGGTTGATCGGGGTTGCTCCTCCAGAGGGAGCGATAATGTCCACTGTGCGGGGTGTCACCTATGTGGAAGATACAGGACTGAACCCATCCTTTCTCTAGTTGTACGGAGCCCGTCGGGGCCCACTGCGAGAGCTGAAGGGGGTGGTGCAGACCAGTGACAGCATAGCTGAGCTTGCGGCCTTCAACAAATCGCGCCACTGTGAGAACCACCAGTCGTTGCTGCCCTCGAAAGGCGGTGTGCACCGGCTGGCCAGACCACCGAGAGAGCAGCTCCTGAAGTGCATGGGATCCACCTGTCGTTGGAGCTGGCAGCAAAGCGAGCGGACCTCCCGCATCGGTGACCTCAGTAGTGTTTACATCCCTGACTTCCCAGGGTCGTGCAATCGGAAAGGCGGTAATGCCTGCAAATAAGGCCACTAGAAACTCCGAAGCATCTTGTTGTTGGCCATCATAGCGCCAAGCGGGAGTAAGATGGCGAAGCGTGAAAGAGGCAGTCAGGGTGAAAGGAGAACCAGAGACAGAATCAGCCACTTCCTGATGGAGGGAGGTGCTTGCCCCTCCGTGCTCCAGCAAGATGCACGTCGGCACCAGGGCCGAAAGCGTTGAGTTAACATAGCAGTAGTTGGAGATGTTGCGCAGCGAGCGAGGAGCAGCGAGCGCGCCGTCCTTTGATTCTACTGTCCCTGACTTCGGTGGCAGGGGGCCTGCAGGCGTTGCCTGGCGAGTCTGGGGCGTTGCTCCAACAGCGGTGGTATCGTCCCGTGTGGGTGCGTTGCCTTGTGTCGTGCCAACCGCTGGCATGTACCTGCGTAACGGTCCGCCCTGGCAGCGGGAAAGTGCATGAACCAAGTCATAAAACAGAATCTGAAAAAGGATCGGACATTGTGCCGGATGCTGCCTCTTATCCGTAACAGGCTTGCGGCAGCACGG